ACAAAAAGGATGCCTTCACGGTTCAGTTTGCTTTCACATTGACATAGCTGATACCTATCAATCTGTGTGGCCTGACAGCTCTGTCGCTTGTCAGAAACAAGATGCAGCCACATGGCACCCGTGCTAACTCTGGCTCCTATGCCTGATCATCCACCACGACCTTTCAGAAACACCTTTGCACTGGTTGCATTATCTGAGTCGAAAAAGTAAAGAAGCAATTCAGTTTGGCAGGCCTTCCAGATCTGTGTTCCCTACTCAGCAGGAGGGCATCAGCGGTGACACCACCAGTGTGAGTGGCCTGCCTACAACCCAATTACCGCTGTGAAACAGCTTAGGGCTTTCTTGAACTTGGATGCTGTGGCAAGTGATCTGATCAAGCCTCGTTTTTTCTAGTGACTCAGAACCAAAATCCCCCTTAATCAGTCCTAAGCACTGTTCCTCACAGTATCTTAGAATAGAATGGAATAGAGTAGAATAGAAAAGAAATAGAAAAAGGAATAGAACAGAATACAACACAATAGAATAGTTCAGTTGGAAAGGACCTACAACCATCACCTAGTCCAACTGCCTAACCACTTCGATCACCTCTCTAGGAAGCCTGTTCCTGTGTTTGACCTCTCTCTCAGTAAAGAAATGCTTCCTAATATCTAGTCTGATCCTCCCCTGATGCAGCTTTGAACCATTCTCACCCATCCTATCACTGGGTACCAGGGAGAAGAGCTCAGCACCTCCCTCTCCACTTCCCCTCCTCAGGGAGTTGTACAGAGCAATGAGTGGTTTCCAGTTTCGTTGGAAGCTTTCCATCCTGATTATACATAGGCTAGACTTAGCTGAGGTGGTCAGATTAGGTCCGTGTCAGCACTAAGCTGGAACAACAGCACCTTTAACTCTCCATGAGTTGCATAGATGCTGGATACATGCCAGAAAATAAGCCAGTTCCCTGATTTCTGGGAGAGGAACTGGCCAAGGTAAGACCGTGACACTGCTAGTGCAGAAAAGAGAATCAAAATACAAAAATTGCAAGCCAAGAGCAGGGTGTTTAGACACTGCATTCAATCAGGCCCCGCTCATGAAGCCCAGGACGTGCCAGTTCCATTACAGGAGGCAGCTGAACAGTCCCATCTTGGGAGGTACTCCAGGGCAAGGAGGGGTCTTTGCCTTCTCCCCTCTGTGGGGCCGTATCTCCTCATAAGCCTGTGTGCAGTGACTACTGCTAACAGAAACACAGCAAACATAGTTTGAAAAGGGTCTGCCAGTGAGCTCACAAATCAGAAGGAGCCTAAAAAAATGCTGCTTGGGTACATCCTACATGACTACTTTTACATAGGCACCCCTGTGAGCAAGTAAACTCTTTGACCCAAGTGTTTTCCCCACGAGCGCAGTCACTGGCTCACGAGATAGGAAGCTATAGCATTAGCAATCACTGTGTGCCATGGGGACCACAATGACCACAGAAAAAGCTAAATCCACTGCGTCTGAAATTTCCTGGTCCCTCTGAGCAACCTTCCTCCTGTGGTCTGAGCATGAAGGCATCTCTTGCTGCAGGGTCTGCGAGAGCATCCAGCAGCGGGCAGGAGGCCGTGCAGATCATAACCTGCCCACCGCTGAGCTAGGAGATGTGAGAGAGGGGTGGCAGGGGACTGTGGTGGGAGCAGTCTGTCGGGGACACTGTCCCCTCAAAGCATCCCCCTCCCAGGCAGCCCCTGGGAAGGAAGGAAGAGGAGTCTGACGGCTGAAGCAAGGACTTGAGGATCTGCTCCCATCTGCTGTGCTGACTCACCAAGTCAACTCGACTAAGAGGCTTTTTGAATTTGGTGGCTGGTTGCTGCCTGCCGTGCCTAGCTTCCTCTCCTGAAGAAAGCAAGCAATTCCTCGTTTGATATTATCTGTGCCTGCTGCAAGCAAGACGCCTTTGTTCTTGAATGCCTGGTGGAAATGGGATTTCTTTCCTTCCCCTCCCCCTGATTTTTTTGTTTGGGCTGGGAGGATCATAGGGCAATGCTCGTTCCGGAGGGGGCTGGAGGAAAGAAAACCGATGACCAAATAACTCCGAAAGAATGGGAATTGCCTCCAGGGAGCTCCCCTTCACCCTGCTCTCTCATCAGCTGAGAGATATTCAACTTCATCCTGCTCTGCTAGTCGCTGAATATTTTATACCATGGCTACAAACGCTCCATTTGTATTCTGTTTCTCTCTTTCGTCATATCTATTATAAACGAGTAGTGTCTGGGAACTCTCCCAGGGAAGATTTGCCTGGATGGCTATGGATATTTTATAGTCAAATTGTGAGAGTAAACCAGCTTTCAAGTTCTGTAGAGGGGGGAAAAAGGTAATAAAAGGGTTATTAAAAAAATAAATAAATGTCGGGATTTTATACGGTTTCTTTTCATAGTGACAGAGCTTCAGTTTGCTCTATGATGGAGCTGGAGCTGCTAGGAGAGGCGTGGGCTGGGAGATGTCCTCTTGCTGGCACTGTCTGCCAACGGGAGCAACCTGATAGACTCCTGCCAAGTGCTACGGCTGGGGTTGTGGGGTTGAAAGGTGAGCCAGGGGTTGGGGCCATGTCTGTGGACATCAGAGACAGCTGGCTATATGGGAAGCAAGACATAGCCCAGGGTTGTAGCCATACCATCTTCACCTCCATATTGTCACATATGTGATACAGGTAGGAGGCCAGGGTCTGCCTCCTCACTTGACAGGAGAAGTCCTGGTGAGGAGCCCTGTATCTGAGCGGGGGCAACTCCCCTCCAAACAAGGGCTAAAGAAGAAAAGCTGAAGAAACCTGCTTTGCCATCAAGCAGGCTGCCACTTCCCCCAGGGGACTCTGAGAGGACTTCAGCCACCAAGGACATCGAGCCTGGCACCATCTGAATAAGCTAAAGCTTTCTGGCAGGGTTTCACAACCTCTGTACAAGCAAAACCAGCCAGGGAGCAACAAACGTGCATTAGAAATGTAGATCGAGCCATTAGACCTGCTGGTGAAACAGAGCGTGTCCCAAACGCGAGTTCGATCGTGCATGTGCAGGGATGAGGACAGCTACGCCAGAGTGCTGCCGGCGTGGCAGTGAGGAAAAAGACCAAGTACTGTAAGAGTTAGTAAGTACTGTAGTGGGAATGATGAAAACCAGACAATTTTAGGATTACTAGGCGTTCTGATTTTTCCTGGAGAGGTCTCAGTTTGACCCTGGTGCCCCAACATGTAGAAGAGAAGCCAAAATGATTACAGAATATCATGATTGGCCCTGAAAGAAACTACAGAGTAGAGAGCAGATACAAAGTACTGAATTTCAATTTGCAGACAGATATATCGTGGGTTTGCTAGACCAAGCCACCTATTCCACAAGCCAAGAGTAAAAGGTTTTTCTCATTTCTTTCTCTTTCATTCTCTGACTCTATCTAGTCAGTCTAATTTTAAAATAATTTATTCACTCTCATCTCAGCAGCACCCACCCTGGAAATCATCATATGGCATTAAAGAGTCTATCCACCTCACACAAATTTATTAGCCCCTTTGTGCAACAAGGGGAAAATGGGGAGCAGGCAGAAGCAGCACCATTGAGTATAAAGGGAAAAATCAACAGATATAAAAGGTGCCTGAAGCCGAGGAATAGAAAATGGCACTCAGTGGCTTTCTTAGGTCTTGGGAGTCACTATATCTTTTGCTCTGGGCAATTTGTGGGTGCGGCAAATCAATAAAGGGTTAAAATGCTGAAAGTCAAAAACCTGTAATAAACTGATTCCCTGGGGTGTCCAGTCCACCCCATCTCCAGACAGATCACCACATGACAGCTGTAAAACAGAGCTCTCTTCCAAAAGCAAGCAAAAGCTGACGGGCTTTTACTTTCCCCGTGAAATGAACTTGGAAATATGACACATAGCTGTATTCCTGACAGAAACAAAGCAAGAGAGGCCTCTTCCCTCCACATCGTCTTTCCTTGCCAGTCTTCCACCGGTCTGGGCCACCCTTCATTGCAACCTCAAAGAAGGAGATCCCTTTCAAAGCCTCCAGGAGAAGACGTGCAGGAATTAGGCAGCAAGGCTGACTGACCACAACGGACACCTCCGACCCAGCCGGACTCTGGGTGCAGACAGCAAATATGAGCCCTCAGAGCAAAGAGAGAGATGGAGACCTGCTCAGTGAACCTGCTCAGCCCAGACCTTACCCCCCAGCACCCACCGGGACAGGGTTTCAACCTCTCTCCCACTGAGACAAGGAGGTCCCAGATTTTGCAGCTTATCCTCTCTGCCGTGCCACACACTCACCGGAGACGTGGTGGCCGGACTCAGGAGGGTGTTCCCTCCCAATGACATCAATGGTGCCAAGCAGAGAGCTGTTAATTAACCCTGTTTATTGAAGGGCGGACACATTCCTGCCTGGGCCCTAATTTTTTCAGTCAGGCTCCAGTCCAGCAGGTGATTAATAACCCAGCGTGCTGTGGGAAGAGTGCATCTATTATTCAAATTAATGAAATTATAATCAAGAGGTGACGAATTAGCAATTGCTCCTTGACTGGATACGGAAACTCATTAGTGTGCCAGGCACTTCTGGGGTGCTGGCTGCTCTCGTAGGCTTACAGTTAGAGAGGAGGGAGTCAGGCAGAGCAGACAGCCCCTTGGCACAGCTGAGGGAACAGCATCCTGCCCACCCCAAAATAGCTGCGGCCACCACAGAGTGCTCCGGTCCCACAAAGCCCCTCCACCCCTCTCTCCTCTCCAATGGACAGACTGTTCACCTGGAGCACGGCGGCTGTGGCCGTCAGCGGGGAAAGTGTGTGCATGTGGGCACAATGCTCTTTTTCGTGGAGGGTAGGGAGCCTTATACTAGAGGAGGAGCGAGCCGGAGTGGAAGGGGTGATGGCTGACAAGTATTTGAAAGCAGCAGCCCACCCACCCTGGTACCTTGGGCACTGGAGTAGGACTCCCACCCTCCTGAATCGCTGGCCGCAGACACAGCTGGTGGAGCAAGAGGCTGGGGTTACCCTTCCCCGGAGGATACTCACCGATGTGCTTCCCGTACATGTGGTAGTAGAAGGAGACACAGTAATACTTGGCAGTAATGTTGTAGAGGGGGCTGATGAGCCGGGCTTTGTCTCCCGTCACCCGGGGCCGGGATGCCTCGATGAACATGTAATAACCTACAGAACGGGAGGGAAAGGTGGGGAAAGGCGGCGTGCACTGGGTCTCCCTTCCTGCCAGCGATGGGATGCCGGAGGCTGGGAGACCACTCCTCCTCTGAGAGACCTGGCCTTGCTCTTCCCATCCGCTCCGCACCCGCTGTGATCCCGGCCAGGGACACTTGCAGGATACCCGCAGTGCCTTCCCTGCCTCTGCAGTGTTTAGGTGATGGGTGTGAGCAGACCCGCTGTGAGTGCACGCAGCAGATGAGCCCCTGAACGTGCGCACACACACACGCACATCTGTCTGGGTGCAAAATGAGCCTTTCTCCTGCAGCACGAGGAGCCCCAGAGCCGACTGCGCTGTGTAAAGAGAAAACCAGAACGAGGAGGGAGAAACCATTCCAGCCTAATTTTTCTGCCTAAAGCAGAGGGAGAGAGGATTCTGTATATCTGGCCTAAACAATATTGTCGTCTAAAGAGAACAATACCAAAGTAGTTGTTAACAACCCAGGGAGGAACAGATTAGCTATTTAATTTCTTGGCATAGTTTTCAATGCTTGATCAGGCTGATGTACTGAACACTAATGGGAAAAGCCATTTCCTTAGCTGGTCATTGGATGTTTCCCATTTTTTCTATATTCAAAGATTTGTGCTTGCATGCAAATTTACTTTTGTTATTAGAGAAAGAGGAAAGTAATATCCCGCTAAAATGGGAACGTGTACTCTATGCACCGTTAGCGTGAGCAATAGACAACACCAGTCTCCTCCAGCTAGCGGCGAGGCACTTGCTGCCATCCCGCAGGCAGCTCCCGCCTGGTCTCTCATGCTCCTGCTTGGTACGAAGGAGATCTGTTTGCTTCCCTGAGATCTTCTTTGAGGAAACGGCTGGCTAAAACCAGCAGAGCTGTTTCTAGATGTTAGAGATGTTCTCCTACTTGTTTATCCTTTTTTGACTTCAAAACAAGCATCAAATGGGACAAGGGCATTAGGCAGTAGGCAATTAGCTGGTAACAAGAACTAATGCTTACACTATTCCCTTGAACAAAGTCGTGGGTGTTTTAATTGTGTGTTTAATGCCATTCAGTAACATGCAAATTAACCGCCTGCTCCCTGCACCCTGTGCGGAGGAGAAGCGTGTTGTGTAGAAAGCAGATGAGCATTCCACCAGCTCCCAGAGCCGTAGGACTTCTGACAAGCAATGGCATGCATCTCTACAGCCAAGTCGAAAGAAACCCAGACGTGTGCCTACCCTCCGGCGTACCGCTGATGTCCGTGGGGGGTCCCGTGTTGACGGTGCGCTTGGGGTTCTGGGTCAGGGCGTTCTGCCGGGTCCAGTCAAAGTTGTCCATCTTGTCCTGCATGAAGCCGCAGATCTTCTCGTCCTCAAAGCGGCAGGTGTTATCTGCAGGGAAGGGAAGGGAAGGGTCTGATCAGCTGCTGCTTTTCAAACCTCCTCCCCAAGGCTGCCTGGGTGCTTGCAGCAAAGCCTCAGCACTGCTACATCACCGCTGAGGCTCTGCATCAGGCTGGGGACAGATGGGCAGCCCCTGACCTCAGGAGAAGGCTGAAAAGGAATATATCCATGATTAGTACGATTATGGAAGGGTTAATCCAGGCTGATGGACGTGATGGTCTGACAAAATGGAAGAAGGCTATTAGGGTTGAAAAGAAAGAGAAATTCTGCTGGGAGGTCTGAGGGGGCAAACATAGAGGAGGGTAAAAAGAGCATTGAAGGGAAACAGGCCACGAGGGCTTTTAAACTAGAACAACTTGATGGCAGAATAATTTCCCCAAGAGAGAGGAAAAAGCACCAGCAGATGACCCCCCTTTGGGCTATAGATTAAACTAAACTATGGCACACATGAAAAAAAAATCAGCTGTGGAGGAGAGGTCAGCTCAGTGCTACAAATGTGTCACTTAGCTAGAGTACATCCAATTTATACCAGCTAAAAGGCACATTTGATATTGCAGCTTATGCTGGTTCCTCTAACAAAATAAGTCATGTAGGTGAAACATTTTTATGTAGGATCAGCCACATGTGCAATAGGGCTCAGTTTTATTACTACCACAAGACAGTCACACCCTACAGCAATACTGTAAGACAGGTGAAAAATCTTGTACATAGATGTAACCCAAGATGGACTTGCAGAGATGGGGATTAATTGGACTTGACCAGGCTGAAGATGGTAACCTTTGTGGTAAAAAGGTAGTTCCTGAGCCACAAAAACAAAGGCCAAGAACCAGCTTTACGCTGCTGACATAGTAGGAGAGGGATGGAGGAAATAAGCAGAAGAGAAAGAGAAAATGGGTCCAAGATCTAATGTGCTTTGTGTTCTGAAAGGTCCCTTGGCAGAAACTGGAGCTGGAGAATGGGCTGAGAGTGGGATGTCAGACCTTGCAAGTGGCACAGACACAGTAAGCACAGATCTCTTTACCTTCTGCCTTGACGTAAGAGCAAGGAGGTGTGCTATGAAACCGAAAGATAAAGTACTTAAAAGCCATGAAAGAACACATACAGAAAGGAAAACAAGGCTCTTGCTAGGGGATGTGCTAGAAGCCTCATCCATGGCATGCTGGTGCAAGACTCACCTTTTTGGGGTTCACCCCCGATACTGTTCCTATTATCATTCCCAGATGAAGAGAAGCCCAGATGCCTACTTGGGCTCCTGCATTCCTGTGGTTTGCTCCAGTTCCCGGGCAGCAGGCTCTCTGTCCTAGTGACTCTGGCAGGACATGCAGGGCAGAGCAGGGTCAGCAACCTATGGGCTGGGTGCCAAGGATGGGATAGGCAAGGGAAGCTTTCTGCAATGCCAGGGCCGAAAGCTCCAGACACAGTACCTTCTGATGGTAGGAACTTCACATATCTACCACGCACACCAAAATCTGCCATCTTGTACCAGAGCGGAGAGACTACCCATGAAATGAACAGCACCTTGACTCTGAGATGCTGCACCTCCTGGTTCCTACCCTGCAGCTAAAGCCCTTCCCATCCCCTCCCATTTGGAAATGAAAACAACCACCATCCAAACAGACATCAAAAGCTGGTACAATCCTGTGGTAGGGAAATGGGTTCCCCCTTCTTACCCATCTCTCTCCAGCATCCCACCAAGGCAGTGAGAAAAGAGGAGGCAGCCTCCCATGTGGCCCACAAAAAGGTCTTTGCCTCCACTGGTTGAGCACTGTGCTGCAAGCCGGGGGCTTGGTTCATGGACCAGGGCAGCTGGATTTTCTGTAAGCTCAGCAGAAAACGCTGCTCCTGCGAGCGGAGCACAGCCATCGGGAGCTTGGCTGGGCTGGCCACTTAACTGCTGATTAACCCTGGCTAAGTGCTTTCCGTTCAATCCGCTCATTTCTAATTATCATCCTAATCCAAATTAGCCACTGCTCTGCAGTGCTGAGCACAGAGGGGCACATGGCAGCTGGAGCTGAAGGAGGAGGGAGGGACGACGGGGTAGATGCCTGGGCAGTCTGAGGCAGGGCAGCTACGTGGGATGGGGGGGGTCTCTTTCATCCCCAGCACAAGGAGATGGAGAGGGAAAAGGGCGAGAAAACAGCTTCTAAGGGTCCTTCCCCAGCCCTCGTGGCTGACAGAAGGGAGTTCATGGCTGTACCAGACACCCCCTGGTCCTCAGAGGAGGGGCTGGAGCCCACCAGCTTTCTCATATTGCTGGCTTGCTCTAACACCCCTGGCTTCTCTCCATCAGACCGAAGAAAAACATTTGCGTGGCTCCAGCTCACAGGTTGCCATTTGCAGTTGGAAGACACGTTTTCTCTTACAATGGCATTATCCTACATAGCAGGATCCACCATCCTACACAGCAGGATCCACTGTGACTGTCCTTTTGCAATCAAAGGGACCGGGATGGTTTGCACCTCTGACTCTTGTGCACGTGGACCTTCAGATGAGAAAGGTGACATCTTTCTCCAGCACAAAATTCCCTTAACAGGGAATATCAGGTGGAAACGAGAGCTGAAAGTTGTAACACAGAGGCCAGTCAGGCAACTGGTTGAGAGGGAGCAAACCCACAAAGGACGAGGCACAGAAACCAAAGGAGAGGCAGATGAAGGAGAAAGCCAAAGCTCAGGTGGAGATCAGGGAGAGCTGTGCAAGACAAGAGGACTGAGGACAGTATTCCCAGCTTAGTGCCAAGGCCTGGTCATGCTAACTGATAGACTACCCTGCCTCATTTGTAAGAAGCCCCACATACCCGTCGGATGAGACTGCTCAGAGAAGACTCAAAAGCTTCAAGAGAGCTCTTTTAATGTCAAAACAGGGCCCTGACTCCATCCTCTCCTCTCACTCAGATGCAGCTATTTCCAGAAGGCAACATTTCTAGCAGAGAGCATAAAACAGAGAAGGGTCTTATGCACCACAGATACCACAACATGACCAAGCTAATGTGCCACGCCATTTGCTGTGCGGGAGTTTATAACTACAGCACATTGCCTCTGCTTAGCTTGGGATCTCAAGGCACTTTGCAACAACTAATGAACAAGGCTTTTTAACATCTCTGTGAGGTAGCAATGCCTCTTTCTGTGTATCTCCTGCATTACACGTGAGGAAACAGATGCACAAAAGTATGGAGAGACACATTTAAGGTCACAGCAGGCAGTGCCAAAGCTGGAAACAGAACCCAAGTGCTCAGACTCCTGATCCTTTAAAACAAGGCACAGGAAGGCAAAGCTCTGGCTTTTCTCCAAGATAGTAGTGGAGGTGCCCAGAATAACTAGGAGATGTTCGGTGTGGTTTGGAACACCGCCGGCACATCACCTCTGGATGGTTATCAGCAAGGTTCACCAGGAGAAACCTGGCAGATCCAGCCAAAAAGAAAACCTTTAAATGACCTGCTGTGTCTCAGAGGCCACAGCAGTGATCTAACTGTTGACCTCAGCGGTGTGAAGCAAACCTTCTCGCAGACTCGCACCATCTGCCAGGGATCCTGGCTCGGCACTGTGGTGCAAAGGAAGCTTCCTGTTTAAAAATTAAACAGTGGATTTAAATATTGAACACAGAAGTTGTTCTCAGGATTGTCAGAGGCGAGGTGGAGGTGGCGGGGGAGCTGGTTCCTCAAAGGCTGGAATTAGTGCTGTCCTCACCAAACAGATTTCCTTGGCAGGCTTTGCAGTGGTGGCAGCTCAAAGTGCAGAGATGTTTGCTCACGGTTACAGACACCTCCCTGCATTCCCAGGGGAGACACCCTCTGCTGTGGCCATTAGCATTTCTCGTTGCTTTGCCTTCTTGAGAAACATAATGGAGGTTTTCGTTTCAAGTCCTTAGGGGGAAGCCATCCCTCGTCCTGAAATTCTGGCTGCCAGATGAATGCAAAAAATAATAATCCTATTCTAGCTGCAGACTATGGGTGAATAGCAGATGGAGCACACTTGAATAAAATTGCCTTCGTCATTTAGCTGTGGTCTGATGACTGAAACTGGCTTGGAGCATAAGGGACCACGCTTCAAGCCTCAGCTCTGTTGCAGACCTGCTGCGTGACCCACAGGCTATCACTTTCTCTCTGAGGATCAGTTTCCCCATCTAGAAGATGAAGACAACGAAAACCGTATTGCAACCTCAACGTATGTTGGGATCTAATAAAAAGCATTTAACAGCCTCTTCCATGGTAAGTTTCTAAAGCATTTATAACCAGTAATGGAAGAAAGCTTCACAACACCGCAACTGGTTGGGACATACTGGAGTGCCATCTGCTTTAATATCTCTGTCTGCGACAAGGGGGATAATATGGCCCAGACAATCCTATTTGCCATCATGATACAAGGAACTGGTGGCAGTCACCTTTTTTAACCTTTACGTTCGTTACACATGTTCCTGAGGAATGGGCACAGATTTGAGGAATCCAACTCTGAACACCAGGCTCGCATCTCATTCCCTCATGTTCGTACCAGGGCAACAAACTCAGATTCATCTGGACTATGAGGCCTTATCAGAGACAGGACACACGAGCACGAGATTGCAAGCAATGAGCCAGGGCAATGTACAACAACCAGCATCTGGTACTGATCACCACCCACCGAACTCATCCATGATCCCCAAACATTTTAGCACCACACAGCCAGATTGCAGATACATGAGAAATAACGTTGCTGCTCTGGAAGGGCAAGACACACTGGCCAAGAGAAAAAAACCCCAGCAATCCCGTCTGCTTCTTAATGCCCTCATCACCAAGGTTTCAAGGCTACATCTGCTAGAACCAGGGAAACCAAACCATCCGCTGCTGATGAGCTGGAATAGCTTGCGGGGCAGCACTGCAGGGTTTGGGTTAGAAAGTGAAGGCTATATCCAAATAAAATTGCAGGGGAAAGGTAAGAAGGACAGAGCAGATTGCCCAGCACTGGAATTTAGTCATGACATTAAAACGATTAGTTATTCTAAGAGATCTTTAAGGTAATACCTTAGAATTAAGATAATTCTAAGATAGTTTTTTTAAAGGTAAATTCTGTTTTATAGAACTAGATTAACTGATTTTAAAGAGTTACGGTGAGTCTTACTGCTAACCTCTAAATGTCTGAAATCTTCAACGTCTTTTGTTCACTTCCTCTGCTTTTACGTTATTTTTGCTTTATAACACCAGTACCTGGCTCTGTAAGCATGCCACATGCATGCCTGCCCCAATGTCATTAACATCTTATTAAGCTGAGAGAGAAAATGCATGAAGAAATAATTGTATTAAGTGACTCTCAGAGTTTGTAAATTAATCACCATTGTGCATGCCCTTGGATCAGGCTGCCAGAGGCATTAATCATCTAATCTTTGCCTTTCACTTGAGACCTCTCAGTGTTTGCTCCCAGAATTTGGCTGGGCAGCCTAGCGTGAGGATACCTTTACAATCCTGTCTCAACGCTTTTCCCTGGGGATAGTGGTAGCAGAGGAAGTGGGAAAATAAGAGGTAGTAGCAGGGATTTCCATGTTACTGGGATGAGAGTCTGGGAACTGAGCTGTGGCCCAGAGACAGAGCTAAGAGCCTTTGGGCTTGTATTTCACGAGCAGCAGGTCTGAAAGGAAGGGGCACGTCTGAAAGTAAGTGTAGTGGGTGCAACTTTAGGCAGTCAATCTCAAGGTGTGAACTCACAGGCAAGACGCTGATGACTGGCCCAGAGATCCCAATATCCATCACAGGCTGGGTGTATCAAGGATAAACCCTAAGTGTTGGGTTTGCTGCATGAAAATACAAGCATGGCTGAGTTATCCTCCACCACAGGCAAATTTCATGCAGTCATTCTGGTCTCAATCAAGCTGCAAAAGCAACCCCAGGTGAGCAGTTTGAAGGCTCAATTTACAAAGACCGCCAAGAGAGTGGCACAATTAGGACCAAAGTTGCTCTGGCTTCACCAGTGATTTATGTAGCATAAAAGCAAGTGGGAAAAGGCCAGATTTTGTCATTTCCACCTGCGGGCTGGGATGCTTGCCTCCTCCAGTGAGTACCGAGGGACACAATCTGGACTAGGTCCCTGGCAATTCGATCAGTGTTTCCCTGCAAATCTTCCATGGAGAATGTTTAAAGAGGATCAGGAAGTGGGGAAAAGCAAAGCAAAGCAAAAGGAATTGGGAATTAGAGCCACAAAAGCCTTCTGACTCTTTAAGAAGCTCCTGCTCTCAGGCAGAGTATGGTTCATCAAACCATCCCCAGAGCTTGAACTTGCAAGACTGAACACCTCGTGCCTGCCTTAACAAGACAAGCCCACACCCTGATTCCTGGCTGCCGTTGCCTGATCCTGGCTTCTCCTTCCCACTGCTAACCTGCAGTGCAGCAGTAGCACTTGCCTACACACACAGAGTAACATAAAAAAAGACTGAATGCTGACTCAACAGCTGGAAACAGGGAGAAAGAAACCACTACATGGAACCCCTTGCTCCCCATGGACCACAGCAAGTAGTCTGCCCATCTCTGCCTGAGCTTTCCCTGGGCTTATATCCAACAATCGAAGCAAAAGGACTTTGTTTCAGCCCCTGAAGATCACTCCACCACTACTTACAGCATGCTACAAATCCTCTTTTACACTCGATGGGCACCATCATGTGCTTGTTAAAGACCACCATTCTCAGACGGTTGTGTATTCTGTTTTCAAAATCCATGGGAACTCTGCGTGCTCAAAAAAGATGGGCCTGCACCTTGGCAGGAATGACCAGAAGGTAAATAAGCAAGTAAACAGTGATGACACTGGAGGGCAAGAAGAAAGGGATTGTGCTCAAGGAGTTTGCAAGAGGAACCAGATCTCAGCCGGAGACTGCTCCACACCAGCCTGCAGAGATGTCAAGCTGTATCTTTCCTGGACAAAAGAGGATAGGGGCCATATATTCCTTAAATATAGATATTCTGGGGAACATTTAATAACCTGCTTACTGGATGCAGATTGCTAATCTTAGGGGAAGGGTGGGTTCAAGATCACAGCCTATCCCATCACAGAGATATCAGGTGTGAGTGGGAGGCATATCTCTGCTGTGTATCTTCTGGCAATAACTCGAGGTACAACAAATGGCATTACTAACTGGAAGCATTAGTGTATGCAATTTCATCCTCTTTTGGGGAAAAAGATTTGACAAAATCAGCTGTGTATTCCAGCTGCTTGGCTTGCCTGATCTGGTGGAGCATTTGACTAACATGCATTACATTCAAAACATAAGTACAAAGGTCTTGTTGCTTACCTGTTGGGTTGGGATAGTTGATTGCTGGAAGAGGAAACAGAAAAACAAGTCAGAACAGCTAGTACTCCTTCAAATTGCAAATCACAATCAAAGTCTGAAAATAAAACAAACACATCAAGAAAGGTCATAGACGCACAAATCTCCTAGCAGCATCCCTGAGAAATAGCAGGGCTCGGTGTCTCCCTTGGTGATGGAACAAGATGCTGACTCTCTGATCCAAGCAGCAACAGACCTTAAGAAAACTTCATCTAAGGGGTGATCCCGCAATTGCACAGGGCAACTCTTCTGGCAACCCTAGCAGTCTCTCTCTGGAGCATCCACTGGATAGCACCCACTTAGATACCAAAACTTGGTTTCTAAGAGGGACATCAAACCAGTTTGAGACACTGTGGGAGTTTGAGACAACAGGTATGCTGGGGACACGTCACTCCACAGGACAAGAGGGTTGTATGAAATCATGCAAACATAGGAGGAGGGGGATCTGTACTTTCTGCTGAAATACAGGGTCCAAACTCCTGAGGGGAGTAAAGCAATCACAGGGTTGTGGGAATGGGGAGAGTTGTGAGCTGTTGGGATGCTGGGGAGAGAAGCATGGTCATTGTATATCAATGGGATGATCGGGAATTCAGGGTATTGGACAGAGCTACAGAGTTTACGAGTGACTAGTTAGGAATGGAACCGTGCATTCAGCTGTGGAGGGAACTGAAGGCCCCTGAAATCCTCTTTCTTTTGTGGGCATGTGGTTAATATGCAGTGTCCAGTGGCTGTCCTCTAAAATACACTGCTGTACCGCGGGAAGCTGCAACATGGCCTGACAGGGGTTTTGGGGATCTCCTGCCCCCAGAGCAGAGAGTGTGAGTCAGAGCTGCCGAGTGAAGGATGAGTGGAGACTGGCCCTCAGACCTCTCTGTCTACTGCTCTGCATTGATACAGCCAAAATACAGCCACATGTGACAGCACCGTGCCATCACAACACCGTAGAGCAGAGAGATCCACCCAAGGGTCACGGAAGACAACATCTACGCATGCCCATGTTCCTAGGCCTGAGGCTCGGACCTGCTCTCGTAGCCAGGACCGAGGAGGAGACACCTACGTTCCATGTACCGGATGATGCGGGCAGCCATATCTCCAGCCCCAAAGCTGGTGATGGGTGTCAGGCGAACTTCATAGCTCTGAGGCACTTTCAGGTTGGGCAAGATGTGCTCCAGCAACAGGCCCTTCTCCATTTTCTGCACAGGAATGAAGGTTTGGATGGTGTTTCTCTGAGCCAGCTGCATAGAAAAAGAATCCACAGCGTTATGAAAATACCAAAACTAGAAATCTGAGGGATGCTGTCCATCATCTGACACCCTATTCCTCCTCTTCCTGTACAGACAAGTACACCTGGTTTATCAATGAGATCTTCGTGCAGAATTGGTTTGAAAATTCCCACCCATGGTACAGAGCAGGAGCCTGAGCTCTCCCTGAAGGGAAGTTTTGGGGTCCTCCTGACCAGGGGGACAACTTGAACTACGGGTCCTAGAGCAACTCTGTGTTGGAACCAATGTCTCCAAGAGGGGAGGAATGAACCCAGCTCACCTCCATTAGTGCACCAAGGTCCTGTGCATGCGCAGCATGGCATTTTGCCAACATAGCCTTCAGTTCACCATCACTGCTGCAGAATTCATTAATTTGCTGCCTGGGCCTCGTGGTGTTTCATTTGGTGCCTTGCTGGGGGATCTGTCTACTGCCATACTTCCTCAGCACCCTTCCACAGGACCCACTCTTGAATCCTAGCCCACACTGCCTCCACAGACCAGGGCAAGGGGTCTAGTTCAAGTCAGTGGTCCTCTGGAGTCACTCGTGGGCTCCCTCTTTCTCTGATGCCCACTGAGGAAGGAGCTGAACCATCTTAGCTGAACCATACCAGCTGAACATTGTTCAATTTGCTAAGGCAGCAGGGAAGTTTCAAGAAAACAATGGGAAAAATATCGTTGTCAAAATCACCACCACTAAAAATGATGAATTATGTGTCAGTGAAACTTCCCTGCCACAGTCATGCTTGCTTGGCGGGGGAAGGACAAGAACAAGGATTGCATTGTGAAGATGCAATTTCCTGCCTGTTGCTATGCAGTGCCTGGATCCTTGTGGCAAGATATGTTATTGAGGATGCTGGTCCTGGTAAAAAGACCTTTGGCAGGGCTCTCCATGGCCCAGTGTTCACTGTCCCAGACACCAAGCCTTTCCCTGCCTCTGAAATATCCTCTAGGCTGACAGGTTTCATCACAAAAGCAATTCTCCTGATAGACAGGCTCAGTGTTTGTCATTAACTCTGAAGTTACAGGATTACTGGAACAGGAATGCAGGGACGAAGGTTTGTAGTAAAACTGTCAGTGTGGAGAATGTGGGGCAAGAAGATGGAGTGAGGGCATGGCAGGAGCGAAGGCCATCAGTAAGGCAGGGGAGCAATGCAGATGTGACACTTGGTAAAAACAAGCACATGCAAATCCCTCCTCTGCCTGCCTCCAGCCCAAACGTACAGAACTGTAAGTTCAAACTCAGAAGCGATGGATGCCACTGGAGACCTTCCTCTGCCAGAGCCCTGTTCATTTCCAACACGGCCACAACCCAACGACCTACCTCCTCACCTGAGTTCATCTGCCCACAGTTTGGACAGTGCTCCCAAGCAAAGGGGCAGGGCTGGACCATATCCTGCCATGGTGCTGTGTTGGGGCAGGGACTGGCCCCTGGGAACCCATGGCTGCATGAGATTCTCACAGTGAACAACAACATTGTACCTGCCTTACAGATTGTACCCAAAAGAGACCTTTGTAGCTAAATAGATCAGGGCGCAAGTTGCTTGAGGAACTGCTTTCTGCACCCTCCTCCTCCTCCCCTGGGGAAGATGGGTCAGAGGGCCAGGAACTGCTCCGGTGCCTTCCCCCAGCTCGGTTCCTCCCTGCGAGGCACCTGGGAGCAGTCCCAGCGGGCAGGACCAGGGCAGTGCCTCTAAGAACCAAGCATGAACTTGGCACCGAGATGCTGCCAGGATCCGTTCGTATCAACAACGCCCCATCTGCACGCACGCAAGCTGGGTGCTGATCCAACTGGCATGCCTACCGCTCAGCCCTCCCATCTGCCAAGCAAGAGCGGGGCTGGGTCCCAGCAGCAGCGACCTCACCTGGGATCATTAGCACCAGACCCCTAATTATCTGGGAGGAGAGGAGGAGGCTGGAGCCATATGGCTCCTGGCATGAGGCTTTTTTGGGGAGCAAAGCCTCACTGGGGGTGGGCTGGTGGCAGCTCCTCCCTGCAGGCTGCCATAAGTCGGGGCACTGGGAAGGCAGCCAGCAAACAGGAGGAGGTCAGGAGCCATTTCCTTCGTCTAGACATAACCTTTAGAAAGGAAACAAAATGGACAGTCAGAGGGAAGCCTGAGAGTGAGATTCAGACAGTGCAAATTCCACCTCAGCTGAGAGTTAGGTGGAATTTGGGTATCTAAAGCCTCTGGGAGCAACGTCAAATCACTTACTTTCACACATCACCTAATCCAGGACAAACTGAGAAATCAGCCTCCAGTCTGGACGGCAAAGCTCTAGATCCCCCAGTTGAGTCTATCCTCAGGGGCACGTGGGTTTAACCAAATAAATAGCTGGCTGCCACCCAGGTTTGGCTGTGAAACAGAAATCAATAAAGGCACATATGCCCCTCATGGGTGGCAACTGTCCTGCTTCCCAGGAGAGACCTGGATCACTGGGAAAGGCACAGCCGGGGACCAGCACGTACATCCTCTTGGAGCACAGGGGAACAGTTTTATGAGAGTCTTCTCCCTCCATCAAACACTTCGGACTCAACTCTTTTCTCAGTCTGTGTCCTGTCTCTATTCAACCTGCAACTTGGACAGACACAGCAACTGGCTGCCAGCGAGGCTGCACTCCGCTCATCCTTACTACAGTCCTGGCATCCTGACAGAACCAGCCTGGGATGTCTATGGAAAGACTGGCTCTTCTGGGTGAAAAGCAGCATGGGCCAAACATCTCCCCTGGGCTAGCTACAGCTGTCAGGAGAATGGGCCAGGTGTGCTGCCAGCACAGTTTAAAGGGCATGAAATTAGTGCAAGGGAGAGAAAGGGGGCAGCTCCAGCCCGCCGCTCGCTGTGTGCATGTGGAGCCGGTGCTGGCTTGCAGTCACTAGCACAGGTCCAGCAGAGAGAGACATTAAGACCAAAGTCTGGCTCAGGCTCTGCCTCCCCCTCCCTAAACATCCTTCGCCTCCCCGATTGCCAGCAGCAGGTCTGTGCACAGCCACAGGCATCAGTCCAGCAGGAACCCATTTTTTAGTCCTTCGCTTCAATTACCCGCTGTTGCCCTTATTCTCCTGCTCTGTGTGTCCTCTTCTCCCATGCTACCCTGGTATCTTCTTCCCTCCAACCCCTCCTCAGCCTCCTTCCTCCTGATCATGCTGGCCCAGTGCTCCAGCTTAATATTGCTGCGGTGCAGTTAATAAAGCAGAGGCAGGCGCGGAGGACGGCGAAACGCCGGTCACCTTATTAGAGATGCTGAAGCCTCAGTGGAGGATCTCACGCAACAAGCTCATTCATCACCAGGCTTGGGATGCTGCCAGTGGGGCCAGAACAGGAGCACAGTGCAATGCGCAGCCTCATCTCTACCTTCACTTCCTTTCATTTCCAATAACCAGAGGAAGGGGATGGGAAGGGAAAAAACAAACCAACCCAGAGTTTCTACCAGTTGGCTGTGAATATCACACAGGCTGCGGAGGGGAGAACGTTCTTGCAGAATGAGTTCATTAAAAATATGTACACAGGGCAAAATCAGCCCTGTGTGGGACGTAGGTATTCACATGCGCAGCTTGCAACCTGCCCCTTTGCCCTGTTACTTGTAAGCAGTATTAGCAGCCAAGGGAGAGGACACTCACACGCTCATATGTACTTAAACCGTCAAGCCTCCGGGACCTGCAAACTAGGTCTGCCCTTTCTCATTCCTCACCATCGCA